ACACAGCAGCCCACTGGGAAAAGGAGGGGTGAAAAGCAAATAAAATAGAAATGTCCTATCACCCTTCCAGAGCTGTCACTGTGCTCCAGGGGGTCTGGACCGTGGACATGAGGCAACCCAGTGCGTGCCAGCTGTGTGTGGTCACAGCAAGCACTGCAGCCAGACACAATGTCCATGCTGGGACAGAGGAATTCACAAACCTACTCCAAGGGAAGCAGGGGGGAGGGGGCGGAAGTAATTAATGCAAATTCCTAGTTTAGGTAAACACATCTAGAGAAAGCTCGCTCTGGCACGGGGAATTAATATCCTGTTAAACCAGTTGAAAAGGTCACCAGCAAATCAAGCGACACTCCCGACACTCCCTCGTGCCAGCGCTGACAGGGCACCAAGACAGAGGGTTGAGAGCAGGGAGCTGGGAGCTCTGTGCAGCATCCGCCTGCCAGCGTGCAGCTGCAGCCGGCTCGGCGCGTGTGCAGACGTGTTCTCTGCAGCTACACTCTCTCCACAACACTTCTGCACTAATATCAACAGCCCTGGGCCTCGGGAAAGCTGCTTCACTGCCTTCACACAGCCCCAGGGAGGACTGGCAGAGCACACAAAAGCAGCCAGGGGTGTTGGGTTCGTGTCAGGTTTGCCGAGGCGATCACAGCCCTGCTTGGGTTCACCGCCTCCAGGGTGGGGCAAATCGTGGGCTGGGGACCATTTAGAGAACGGGTTGTATAAATTAAGAATCAAGAAAGGAGATGCACACTGGTCCCTTCAGCGTGGGGGCCCACCTGCCCCGGGGAGGCCTCCCTAGCCACGTGTCTCTGCTGGCACAGACATTCCAGCACAAGACCTTCAAAAGGACATGCTGGGACTGAAGGCCTCGAGGTGATGCTCCAACAGCAAGAAAGAAGAAAGGAAAGAATAAAATAGCTCAAGACACACCACTCAATTTCATCTTCAATGGAAAACCTGAAGCACAGAGGAGCTGCTGGCAACTCACATCTCTGCAGGCACAGAAGTGGGTCTCTGGCTGCAGAGGTGTGAAGAAAAGGTGAGAGCTGGCAAGAGACAAGACAGGCGGTGAGGGGGAGCACCAGGGCTGTGATAGCCTTGGGTCAAAATGCACTGAGAATGAGCCACACACCACATGTGCACCTCTGCACCCTGGGGACTGGGACTCCCTCTAAGAGTGCAGAGCCTTTGGGGTGCTTTCCCTTCCTTCCCACCAGAAAAACCAAGCTTCTCTCCCAGTAGACCCAGGAAAAGAAACCACCAGGGCTGCATGTGTTTCCTGAGGCCCACAGCGAATAGAACTTAAGGAGAGGAGCTGAGTGGGAGCTCCTGCCCCTCTCCACACACTGCTGCTTCTGCAAATGGTTCTCTGGGATTAACTCCGAAATTAGTGCTCTAAGTCAACCATCACAGCCAGGATTTGGTCTGATTTAGCAGGGAATGGAGTCAAGCAGCTTCAGAGTCCAAACCCATTGAATTTTGTTTTCCTTAAAAAAACACTTTGCAAAGAAAGGGCATTTTCAAATGCTCTTATCAGCAAGATAGCCCTGTGTCTTGCACAGAGAAGCTGCAAAGTCCAGCAAGACTCCAGCTGTATTTGTCTAAATCTACATGGAGAACTTTATACAGTGCTAAAAATGCCATTTTCTGGTGTCCAGCCCCAAGATGAGCCTTGCTGTCAAGTCTATTTCTTGTGTGAAATGGAGCTGGTGGAACAGTGTGTTTCTCACAAGTGCTTGTGTGTCTAAGTGCGAAAAAGGCCAGAATACCCCAAAGGAGCTTGGATACATGTGGATTCTCTCTTAAAGATAGAAAAATTTAGTTTCCCTTCAATTTGGCAGCAGGAGTGGAAAGCAGCAGGTTGTGATGAGGCTGGGGTGGGGTGTCCTTGTACGGCAGCAGAACTGGAAACCCAGCGGTGGCTGCGGATACACCAGGCCTGCACTGTACAGAGGGTGCTCATAGCATGGCAGGATCCTTTAGCAGGTGCTGGATAGATCTGGCATGACCAGATGAAGAAGGGTTTACCCTTTGTCTTTAATCACCCAACTGAGGAATCGCATCACAAACACCCAGCGACTGCAGCCCTGACCCCCGGTATCTCCTGCCCAAGTCCTGGAGGGAAAAGACAGCCCAGCTCCCTGGAATCACGTGCCATGTCTTTGCACAGGATGTGCCCTGTCTGGTCAGTGCCAGGCACCTGTGCAGGATCAGGCCCCTGGGAGGCCCCGCTAACCACAAAGCCACAGGGACTGCGAGGCAGGAGCTTACCCAGCAGAGCCTGGAAGAGTTCACTTTGGAAGATGTGCGAGACTTTTCCAATGGAGGCTTTTAGCTCCTGCTCCTCCGGGGACCGCAAGGTGCTTTGGTATCTGGTCAGAATTTCCACTGCCCGTTCAGTGTCTGCAGAGATGACACAGGAATAACAAGGCATTAACACTGAAGAATGTTAAGGGAAGGCTCAAGTGCAGGCTTGAATAACGCCTCCAGTTGCCTTCCAGTTTGGATTTTTAAGAATCAGACAGCCACAGAAGCAGCCTCCTCACTCACACCAGGATGAGCTAACCCTGCTGAGAGGTGCAGGGGCTGGAGGGGAGGTGTTTCTGCCAAAAACCCTGAAAATCAGGGGCTAAAATCAGGTCTGTTCACCTCTGAACCCTGTGGCACTGGGCAGCCTGAACACCTCTGCCACCTCCCAGGCAGAGAAGCCATTCAGGAGCTGGACACATCCAGGTTGCACAGGGCTATGAATACTACTGCAGGAGCTGCAGTCTCCCACATGGGGCCAGATGGCTGCAGCAACGCTGAGTGTGGGCCCATTCACATAGTGCAAACAGCTCAGCTCCATGAGTGGCGAAACTTGGGTTTCTACAGGATGAAGCTCAAGAATTGCTCAACGCAGCAAGCAGCTGTGGGTCAGCAGGAGACAAGTGGGAAAGGAACACGATGCCTTGGGGTCAAAGGAGATGCTGGCCAGGAGGGGAGCTGGAGGCTGCCACGAAGCAATGCTTTGGTTAAAGACTGGGCTCCCATAGCTATGTGAAAACCCTGGACCTGAAATAGTGGAGCTGTGATCTCTGTGCCTGGACACCTCCATGCTTCTCTAGGCAGGCAGCCAGAGCTGCCAGTGCAGCCCAAACCTCAGATGTGACCCACATCTCAGGCAGGTGGGGAGCTCCTGTGGACCTTGAGACTGTCCCAGCCCTATCAGTGGATATTTCCCTTTGTCACCCAGGCAGCCTGCAGACAAAGAGCGTCTGTGTGAGGAGGCAGAGAAGCTGTCCTGCCACTGCTGGAGACTCATCTTTTAAGCCAGGAACTCATGCAGAAAGGATGACCCTGCTCATCACAGGGCTCTTGGCAGAGAATTCAGGTCATCAGACAAGGGGGCCTGTGTCTGCTAGGGTGTGTGCCACCTGGTATCCCAGCTCGCCCAGACTCCCAGCTCCTCCTCGGCCGAAAGGGAAAGGGGGTCCTCCTGCCTGTGTCCCCAGCCCACAGTGACTCATCGTGGGAGCAGAACAAGGAAAGGAGTGTGGGGAAGCGTGAATAGCTCCGACTCAGAGCTGGGCTCCATGAAAAGCAGGGACTTCCCTAAGCTTTATGGGGATCCTAGCCCTGTGCTATCACTAAGAGCTTCCTTTTCTGCAAGATAAGACAGTGGCTTCAGACACTGCCCAGCATCCCATGATCAGGACTGAGATATCTTTGCCTGGTCATTCCTGACCTTATTTGCAAAAGCTAAAGAAACAGATGAAAAACCGGGGCCACCACATCAGGTCACAAAGACTGCGAACCTGGTGTGAACTTCCCACCCCAGTCCAGGCTGTGCAGAAAGAGCAGCACGCACCCTACGCTGACTTCTGTGCTGCTGGACACCAGCACTGGGTGACAGCTGGCTGGAGCAGGGGAGCACTGGCTCTGGACAACCAAACCTGGGGAAGTGCTGTGCACCTGGCATAGGGGTGAGACCGGAGGAACCTTCTTACAGCACCCAAGAAAGAGCACGTGTTGTCCAGGGCCCATCTCACTATGCCTCAAGGTGCATTCAAGTCCCACTTACAGAAGATCCCTCCTCGCAGGACCCACACCTCCACGCCCACCCTCCTCCCCGCAGCACCCAAGGGCTGTGAGAGTGCAGCATCCCACGGTCACCCGCTCCGAGCCACGGGGACACGTCCACAGCCCGAGGAGGGCGTGAAGCGAGGGCGCCCCGTCCTCGGCTCTTAACCCCTGGCTTGCACGGCCGCCCGCAGCGGGGAGCGAGGGCGGGAGCTGCCCGGCAGGGGCGCGGAGCACCGGGCGCGGTCCCAGCGCCGGCACCGGCGGGGCGGACACTTGTTGAGCGCGGGGGGCGCGGTGCCCGGCGCGGCGGGCAGGGGAGGGCAGGGCAGGGCCGGTCCGGTCAGTGCCCTCCTTACCTTCCCGGCGGATCATCGCTCCGCCGTGGCCGACGGCCGCTCCGCTCGGTGCCAGCCCGAGAGCGGCCGAGCCGCCGCCCGCCCCGCCCCGCCCCGCAGGGACCGGCCGGGCTGTATCCCCCTTTTTTTTTTTTTTTTTTTTTTTTTTTTTTTTTTTTTTTTT